TATGGCCTTTACTTAATTATTCATAAAGTTTGTGTTTAATAAAGAATGCGCCTAGTACAAATGTAGAGTCATACTCCTTTCCAATGACCATCCACAATTTTGTCATGATGTCATTTCAAATTGTTCAAATTACACCTGTGGAGTGTGGAAGCAACACCTATTCAACAGAACTTCCAGCCAATGCAGTGGTGTTTACTACATTCAAAATTAAGCTAAATGCAGATCTACATGCTGCCTATCAACAAAATCAGGCCACGGTACATTCTTTTCCCACCTAATAAAAGCGCTCACATTAAAAACGTTTCCAGGAAAATTCTCATCAAGCAAAACAAAAGAAAGCAACAATTGACTAATAAGTAATGATACTTTTCACTATTGTTCCGACTTATCCAAATCCAAAGAAAAAGAAAAAATGGTACCTTTCACTAGTCCTGAATACAGCTCCAGCGTTCTCCAGCAAAATCTTCAATAACTCTAGTGCCACAATCTTCCCCTTCATCAGCTGCGGGTCAGCTGAGGCCTCCTTGGGAGGCGTCTTCATAGATAATTTACAAAGTGCTCTAAACACCAAAAAGGCATCTCTCCGCAGCTTATTTCCGATCTGAACCTCCAAGTCATCATCTCTCTCGGCCTCCCCCATCCGCCAACTCACCCTTCCTTCCCTCCAATGCTGTCTTATACATACTGATTTCCCAATATTTTGCATCTAGCATGTCTTTGTCCGTGGAATCCAACAGATCCGTAGGATTAGTGGTCTCCACTGCAGTGGTCTCAAATGCACCATCATGCCCACCTAAAGAAATTTACCAGGGGTCACAGGGTTAAGCACGCCATCTATATCCTGCATAATTTTCGTGATAAAACCTTGCACAAACTGCGTCATTGAACTGTCTGCATCGGATTTTTCAACAGGTTCCATTAACTCAGCCACTACAATTGGTTGAATTGGGACGGTGGAAGAGTCCGCCTCCATTCTCCGAAACACTATCACTAACATTTGAACCAACGACGCCTTAGCCGTCGTTTGATTCACCACATTTTTACTACCCAGATATATATCATAGCATGTCCTTACAATGAGGAGCAAGCAATCACCATGAATTCTCAAAGATATCGACGTTACAGCAGACAAAAGCGTCTTCAGCACCAACAATTCCATTGCGTCGTCTCCCAAATCGTGGCATTTACATACTGACTCAATCAAATTAGCCAAGAGCTTAGCTTCGGAACCACCCCCTCCGGAGTCCGCCTCGCCGCGTAGATAACCATGGGCAATCAATTTCTGGATAGCATCAACAGCAGGATCAGCGATCTTCAAGACACCAGAGTTGGCCGCATTGATCAAAGGGCTAAGAATCGATTCAGACTCCGCAAGCGAGTACTCCACAGGACCACCGTCATGGAGTGGCCCCGGCACCGAACTCTCGGGCTCGTTATCGGAGGGTGAGCCAGGTAACTCCTGTGTCTGAGGTGAATTAAGCCTTTCGATAACCGATTTGCACTCATGAGCAAGCTTCGCGTGCTTTCGCCAGGAAGCGTTCTTGACGATTTTCTCAAGGGCAGGGACAACGACCTGACTCAGACGGGAATCGGCTTCCGAAGAAGCCATTCCCGAGCTGGAAAGGATCTCTGAGTTAGTGACAGTTGGGATCTCGAAATTGGAGAATGAAAACGAAGCCGCTTCGAGCTAAGATCTTTCCATGAACTCAGTGAGTTGCTTCAACAATGGCAGCGAGTTAACTCAGTGAGTTATGAGGTCGCGCCCCAGCTCCTATTATGCCCACTCGATTCTTTCTTTCATCAATGGAGGAAGAAGTGAGGTTCAGAGGATCAGATCGTAAGGAAGGAGAAGGGTCAGATTTGAGATCTCGTTTAGGTTCGCTCCTCGAAAGTCCAAGATCAGGTACGAAATGACTGGAACGCCCTTCCATTCATGGTGGATAAGTGGGGTTGTGTAGTAATAAAATGATGAGGTAGGGGTAACTATGGGCTACAAAGATATTGCTTCTATGGTAAGATGGCTTAATTATTAATTAAGTGCAAATCTCGGACGATGTCTTGATAATTCTTTTTGTCTGTTTTCTACTTTTTCTCTCAATTTTCACTGAAAAGTCTTTTATTTTTTAAATTCGGCGAAACAAAAATTCATTTTATAACCCCCTTAAGTGAATTATCTGTCAATAAAAATTACAAGGAACTCGAAAATTTTAAGTCCAAAAAGTAATTTGAAGATTTTATATCCATATTTAAATTGCATTTTCCTAACTATTAAGGTTTTTTGTCATCTTGGCAAAAAAATATATATCATTTACCAACGCACTCATTATATTCTCTGAGAGTTGAATTGATAATATCATGTCCAAAAAAAATTTAAGGAAGTTTTTTTTTTGTAAGAAAATTTAAGGAAGTATTTTAGTACCATCAGCTTACATCCTACTATCAGGTTAAGTTGAGTCATTACATTCAAGGTAGAAAAAAATTGTAGCATTACATTGATTTTTGAGCTATTTATTACATTTTAAAAAAAAAATTTTTGCTTTTATAATATCATTATTGCATACCATTTAGAGATGCAACAAAAAGGGTAAATAAATTTTAGATAAATATTCAATCCTTCACTTAAAAAAAATTATATAAATATCATTACTTAATAATAGGGGTGGAAACAAATCAAACAAAAACGGACCTGTTAGACGCCTTTTTACAATCTAAGCCTGGCCTAATAAAGGCCTGGTTAGACCTGAAGCCTATTAGAAAAGTTTTATTTTTAAAAACTTCAAAAAGCCAAAAAAATAAGTCATAATTACATAAATCAATCTAAAATCATAATAACTCAATCTAATTATCTAAAATATAAAATAAAATATGATATAATCTAATTAATTGATAATATAACACCAAATAACAATTTTGATTATAGGTACAAAGTTCATAGTATTTAAAAATAGGAACCCACCTCCTATAATTATACATGCATATATGTGTATAATGTATATATGTCCTCATTTCTCTCCAATGATGCTTTCCTGTACGTGGACTGGAGTCAGCAAATTCTCACGTTCAATGGTTTACAATTATGAGTTGCTGTGTGTGTGTGTGTGTGTGATTTTGTTCTCGGCAAAGTTCTTTGTGCTTTCACGAAATTATGTAGTTATAAAATTTGCACTTCTCTTGTATTTATTTATGAAATAAAAATGGCTCCAATCCAATCATGTACTATATCGTTGCAGGTGTGAAATTGAGAAAGAAAAACAAAAAGGGACACTGGGCAAAAAGAAAAAACAACATTCATCAGGACAAAAGTAGGCGAGCGGCTAAGGTTCAGTCAAAAAGGAAAAATATTTATCAAGGGTAGGTAGGGTGAGAAATTAACCACTACCTCTAATCTTTAATATAAAAATTAGTTTAATTTTTAATTTGATCTTAAATATAAAATTCTAATACACTTTATCTTTCATTTTTTTTATTTTTTTAAGATAGTTTTTATAATAGTTGCACATATACAAGGTTTCATGATATGGTAGTTTTAGCTAATACACATTATTAGCAAGGGTATTTTGAGAAAGAGATACATATTTCTTAAAAATAACTAAATTAACGAATTTTCTTATTTTACTTAGATTAGCCAATTAGCTCTTATATTAAGGATTGAAAATAGTATTAGCCATTATTGTTGGAAAAAACATATTAACTAAAATTATAACAGGCTCAAATCGCCTGTTTGGCTTAACAGGTTTCTTAACGAGCCCAAGCTTGGCTTGTTAATAAAAACAGGCTTTTTGGAAGGTTTGAGCCTGTTTCTTTTTCAAACAAACCAGGTCATATGCTTTTGACAAGCCGTCTGACCCATTTTTAACCTTACTTATTAATTTTTGTACTCCTCTTATTTTATTTACAAGACTAAGAAAATACTTTTAGTCTTAATTATAAGCTATTTCATTAATTTTTTAACTTAAATTTACTATTTTACCCTTCCTTTGTTATTTTGCGAGCTGTAGTTTATATATTACATATTGATAAAATTGAAATGTTGATGAGTTTTAAGAAAAAGTTGAGGAGTTTTATTTAATTTTGGAAAATTACACTCAGATCCCACATGACAATTAATTCACAAAAATCCCGAAATGATTCCTAAGTTCCCAAGGACCTGTGTGTAATAAATTATAATTGTGAAATTATATATTTACTCCCATTAATTTGAACCCAATGCAATTCATTTACAACCTTAACAGTGGCTGTTGACAATCCGAGGAGAAGTAGTTAACAACCTCGGCAATGCCCCTAGCATCCCACAGAGTGAGTTGTCAGAAACATTGCCGAGGTTGTCAACCAGTTCTTCTTGGGTTGTCAACAACCATTGTTGAGGTTGTAAATGAATTGCTGCAATAAAACTAATGGGGGTAAGTAAGTAATTTCACAATTACAATTTATTACACACAGGTCCCTGGGACTTCAGAATCATTTCGGGATTTTCAGGGACTTTTTCTTAATTAATTGTCTTCTATGAGACCTGAGTGTAACTTTCCCTTTAATTTTTAGTCTGATAAAAGGTGACTTATACCAAAGATAAGATATTCTTATGGACAAGAGAAAAGAAGAAGGATCAGATATCATATTAATTCGTAATGCAAATGTAAGTTGCCTAAAAAATTTCCATAAATCAACCGATGCATGCAAATGATAAACTATTGTCACATGGAGAGTTTCAGATGGCGTGGTTTCAAGAGGACTCCATGCTGCACAATGAGTTGAGATCTAGTTTGTTATAATAGTTAAAGTTGTTCAAAGGTTTGGTTTATTTAATTTGATAATTGGTTCCCGGACCGACAAAATTTAGAATAGATGAGGAATTGAATTGGTTTGGCTTCTTCTGTTTTTTTTTTTTTTGGGTTTATTTTGGATGACTTTGCCTGCATAAAATGGTTTCTAAATAGCTGATTTACAGAATATGAGATAAGTATTTAAAAGAAGTTTATTTTTTATAAATAATTTTAAGAAATGCCAAACAGGGCCTTTAAAGATAAAATTATTGTAATTTTCTCCTTTTGAAAAACATATAATGTATTTTTGGTACCGAGGTATTTTTCTTGAAAGGCACCAGTTTTCTGAAAGTTGAAAGTGCAACGTCACCCTAAAATTCTAAAATTGGATTAGTGTTGCTCCTCTATTAAACATTAATAAATTTAATCGCTAATAAATAAACAGCGGAGATTACGAACAATTTTTTCAAAATTACAAATAGAATTTTATACAAGAACATTAATTGCCCAATCAAAATCTTAGTTAAACTTTTAGGGGAAAATGACTATTAAGGATCCTATTAAAAAAAAACAATATCTATTTTATATTAATTTTAAAATAATTGTTTTACATGGTTCTTGATCGCCATGGGTTGATGTAAGCTTTGTTTGGTTCAATCTGATTTGGGTCAATTTTAAATCAAATACATTTATTCAAAATAAACTTATAAATTTGACCCAAAAAAATAAACCTATAAAGTCAGTCCTCACCTCTGTTAGAAGTGATTGTTGTCTTATCTTTTATTGGCTCCTACATACTTGTCACACACTCAATTCTGAACCAAATCTATAATCTAGAATCTATCCATCTGTAATCTCAGGTCCAAAAAAAAAAAATCTATCCGCCTGTAATCTATAATCTATAGCCTATATATCTATATCTATATCTATATATATATATATATAT